TTTGCCTACTTTTTCATGGGACTATTTACGTTTTTCAATTGTTGTTATTTGAGTTCTTTTTGAGTTGTATTTTGGATGTTAGTCCCTTACTGGCCGAACAGTTGACAGATATTTTCCCGCATTCAGGAGGCTGTCTCTTCAGTCTCTTGTTTTCTTGGATGGGCAGAAGCTTATTACTTTGATATAGTCCTGTTTGTCTATTTTTGTTTTTGTTGCCTGTGCTTTTGAGGTCTTAGCTATAAAATCTTTGCCTAGACCAATGAGTGTTTTCCTTGTTTTCTTTAGTAATTTTATATTTTCGGGTCTGAGGTTTTAGCCTGTAATCGATCTCCAGTTGGTGTTTGTATATGGGGAGCACATTTTCTTTTGATGACACTGCCGAACCAAGGGTATACTTTTAACGTGTTGGTTGATGATTGTACTTGAAGCGTGTTCTCCTCATGTCCACGGCGACATCCAGACACCGCCTCCAGGGTGCATGCCCTCTCCTGGCCTCGCAATGCCAGTATGAAAATGGGCTTGGATTGCACACCCTTAAAACATCCTCCCTGTTCCTTCCACGTCCATCAAGTTAACAGTGCAGGGGTTGTCAGGTAACAGTGCACTATGCCTGTGCCCTGGGGTTTTGGAAATGAGCCTTAGGAAGCCCAGCGAAGCAGGTAGGGGGTTCAGCCTGGAGGGGTCAGGGCTGGGGCTGAGACCCAGGTTTTCTCCCGCGGGTCCATCTCCTTTTCCTTTAAGGATTTCCTGGCCTTCCCTCTGTCTCTTCAAGTAGAGTAGACTGGTCCCATGTGACGTTCTTGAACACTGTCATCGAGCTCACTGTGCTTGTGCTTTTGAGTGGAAGCTGAACCCTGGTCATGAGCAAGAATGGCCAGACAGGGCTCACGAGGCTTGGTTTAGCCAAAGTAGTGACTGCGGGTTTTTCAGTGCAAGAGGCTGTGAAGGGAGGAATTCCTCCTGGTGCCCCTGTGCCCTCCAGCGGCTTCTGCCCATGGGAGGTGTTGGGCACACCACCCCTGTGGTTGGAGGGCTCTGGAATAGCAAGCCCTGCAGCTTCAGTCCTCCCTGTGATAGGGGCCTGGTCGCATGGGGACTGAGAGGCGGCACCAGGGATCTGGGGGCCTAGGGATGTGGCCAGCGAGTATCCAGGCTGAGAGCCCATCACGTGTCAGTGCTCTTGAGGGCTGGGGTCTGTGTGGGGCCATCCGCCGGAGGCGCCAGCCTTCTTCCTCAGGACAAGCCGAGCTCTCTGTTCCTGCCTGGGGCAGGACCAGCCCCAGGACACACCCCCTCAGGCAGGAGGAGCCACCCGGAAGCAGCCTCTTGCGGAGTCTGTGGGAATGTGGAGCCAGCCTGCTCCCTGGGTGGTTGAGATGGATGCCCCCGGGCTTCAGAGTACTCAGGTTTCTGATGTGGCCCATCCATGCCAGAATGAGGCGTTGACCCCAATGACATGAGACAGAAGCCTTCCTGGGTGTCGTAGGGGACTGCCTAGTGCGCCATCTGTGGGAGCCCAGCACTTCAGAAGAGGGCTGTGTCACTCTCACTTTCCAGTTTGTTTGAACCTGTCCCATTTCTCCCTCATTGCTAAATGGTTGTATTTATCATGGTCTTGGCGTCACTGGGAATTGCAGAGCGTGGTTAGCAGAGCCTGGCCCTCCGAGATCTTACCCAGCTCCCAGCTTTGCTGAGTGGGTTCGTGCTTTGGGGCAAGAAGCTTGTTTCTAAATCGGTGTCGGATGCTCCCGGCTCTGCCTCCTGCTCTGTAGGCTGCAGGGAGGCTTCCCCACAGAGGGAGATAGCAGGCAGTGTGCCCTCTGGTGAGAGAGAGCCATCCCAGCTGGGAGAACCCTGGGGCCTGGTCCTGCCTGACAGATGCCTCTCCACTGGCCTCCTGCTGTTTCAGGTCCAGTGATGGGGACCTGAGAGGTGTGAGGCGGGTGATCTTGGCTGTGTAGGCGGAGTCTGTAGCCTGCCGCCTGTGACCACTCTACCTGCTGCTGGTTCTGGGCACAGGGGCTGGGGGGCACCACTGCAGATGTGGACATACGCGATTTTTATTTATTTGTAAATAAATTATTCCCACCGAGTTAGTGAAAATTTACAGGCCCTTTGACTAATGCAAAACAACTTAAATATCTCATTCAAATGTTTCAGAAAAAATATCTCTTGGCTTGGAAAGGTTTCCTTACTTTTTTTTTTTTTTTTTTTTTTGAGACAGAGTCTTGCCCTGTCACCCAGGTTGGAGCCCAGTGACCGGATCTCGGCTCACTGCAAGCTCCGCCTCCCGGGTTTACACCATTCTCCTGCCTCAGCCTCCCGAGTAGCTGGGACTACAGGTGCACGCCACCTCGCCCGGCTAGTTTTTTGTATTTTTTTTTTTTTGAGACAGAGTCTCGCTCTGTCGCCCAGGCTGGAGTGATGGCAGGATCTCAGCTCACTGCAGGCTCCGCCTCCCAGGTTCCCGCCATTTTCCTGCCTCAGCCTCCCAAGTAGCTGGGACTACAGGCGCTGCCACCTCGCCCGGCTAATTTTTTTGTATTTTTAGTAGAGACGGGGTTTCACCGTGTTAGGCAGGATGGTCTCGATCTCCTGACCTTGTGATCCACCCGTCTCGGCCTCCCAAAGTGCTGGGATTACAGGCGTGAGCCACTGCGCCCGGCCTAGTTTTTTATATTTTTAGTAGAGATGGGGTTTCACCGTGTTAGCCAGGATGGTATCGATCTCCTGACCTCGTGATCCGCCCATCTCGGCCTCCCGGAGTGCTGGGATTACAGGCTTGAGCCACCGCGCCCGGCCTTGTACCCATACTTTTGTACTGATTTTTTTTTTTTTTTTTTTTTGAGGCGGAGTCTTGCTCTGTCGCCCAGGCTGGAGTGCAGTGGCGCGATCTCGGCTCACTGCAAGCTCCGCCTCCCGGGTTCCCGCCATTCTCCTGCCTCAGCCTCCCAAGTAGCTGGGACTACAGGCGCCGCCACCACGCCCGGCTAATTTTTTTGTATTTTTAGTAGAGACAGGGTTTCACCGTGTTAGCCAGGATGGTCTCGATCTCCTGACCTCGTGATCCGCCCGTCTCGGCCTCCCAAAGTGCTGGGATTACAGGCTTGAGCCACCGCGCCCGGCCTTGTACTGATATTTTTAACTCCCTGAGGTTGGAAGCTTTGGGAAACTCTGGAGAGAATGGTAACGGCGTTCAAGGTCAGCTCCACCTTTCATCTTCCTCATAGAGTTCAGTTTCTCTTCCAAGACCTTTCAGTCATAAGTGGTTTTTCCACGGAGCTGCTTTCTAACCCCGGTTTACCTGTGTGTGGGAGGACAGATGGGGTCTCCCTGGTGCCAGCTACTCCTTCTGCACCCATCGCTATCCCCACTAGACGCCCAGCAAGGGGCCTGTTCCTTGGGTGGGCAGAGGAGACCTCTCTGAGGGGACCTGGAAGAGAGAAGGCCATGGTGTACTCTCTGTGAAGAGGCTGTGGTCAGAGGGAGGGCTTAGGACTGTCCTTGGGTGTGTGTGAGGGCTCAGGGCCTGGGCCAGGCTGCAGGACATCTGCTCACAGGCTCTTGGTAGCTTCGTTCCGGAGATGGAAGATGCCCCAGAAATTCGAAACTAATGCTGAGCAAGGCGGGCTCCAGTTGTCCTCCATGTCCTGCAAAACAGGCATGGGATGGTGAGGGGCGCGGGGGTGGCCAGAGGCTTTATAAGGAAGTGGCTCTTCCTCTGTGTTTGGAGGAGGAGCTGGGCGCTGGAAGCCCAGGGGAGGGGCTGTGTGAGCACTGGATGAGCTGATGCAGGGTTTCGGGGCCCCATGGGCAGGGTGCTAAGTGACAGGAAACGTCAGTGGCTGTCTCAGGGCAGAGGGCCAGGCCCAGCGCTTGAGGTTTGCAGCGTGCGCGTTTTAGTCAACAGGATGGCTTCTGTTAGGGGTCCGTGGTTGCAGTGTGCCTCTGCGTGGCTCTGGCTGACTCGCAGAGAGGAGTTCCCTGGCAAGCTGCTGGGAGGGTGTGCCCAGGATCCACCCGAGGCTGCTCTGGGGGCCTGGCTGACAGAGTGACTGGGACCTCTCCTTCCAGGGGTGCAGGTAGCCTCGTTGGCCAATGTCGGGGTCCCCGTTGCTCATTCAGTGGTGCAGTACCAGCTCCTTGAGTGGGGCTGGGCGGGGCTGTGACAGCGTTGCCCGGCACCTGCTTTCTGTGTGGACCTGCGCTTGGTCCATGACAGGTGAAGAGAAGAACGAGGATGGGGCCTTGGGCCCGGGCTCACATGCCACTTGCTCAGTCTAGCCAGGGAGCCTTGGCTTTGTGCCCCAGGTTGTGAGGCTGGGAACGCTCACACACCACTGGCGTAACTGCGTGCCCGGCTCAGATCCTTGCTGCGTGCTCCGGAGTCCCAGCGCTGAGTTAGAAGACATGGCTCAGGCCGCTGCTCATCATCGCGGTGCACGTTGAACTTTGAAGTGGCTGTTTCACGTTGGAGTCTGAGTTTCCTCATTTAAAAAATGGAAACGGTGAACAACAGGGTTCCTCGGGCATTCGCTGAGACAATCTGCAATCGTTCTGGAAAGTAGGAAGCGCTACACCTGGGGATCGCTGATTTTCCTCTTGTTGTTATGTGTGGGTCTTCTGAAGAGGTGAGGAAAGGAACCTAAAACTCTAAAACTCGCTGAGCACCTCCTCTGTGCCAGGTGCCTGGTGGGTGCTTTTTAAACATGATTTCATTTCCTCTGAAGAGCGACACTGTTAGGTAGTGTCTCTGTTTCTACAGGTGAAATAAAATCGGGGCTTACTAAGGCCGTCTCCCCGACATTGCATAGGGTGGGGGCTGTCGCTGACCCCTGTCGTAGTGAGTGCGTGCTGCCCTGGACCCGGGTCCGCAGAGTCCGCACATCCTGGGTCCCAGAGCAGCAGCTACAGAGGTTCCTTTTGGCCGTGTTTGGTGTGCAGAATCAGGTTTACTCTGGGGGACAGCTGGAACTGAGTGTGCCTTCTTTATCCTGCAGGACTCCAGAAGACCTTTCCAGATTCGTGGTTGAGCTGCAGCAGAGGGAGCTTGCCTTGAAGGACAAGAACAGCGCTGTCACCAGCAGGTAGACCCGGCCGCCCAGGGCGCTTGTGGGATGTGTTTGCTTTGGAGAGCTGGGGCGAGTGAGAGTGTGTGCCCCCTGGCTCTCGGGGCACGGCGGTGCTTCACCGTGTGGGTGGCCCTGGTCTGGGATGGGAAGAGGCAGCAGGGATTTGAGGGAAGGGTTTGCCCCATGTTTCCACCATGTGCTGTGAGCCTCAGCTGAGGCACCACTGTCTGTCATTCTGACAATGTGCTAAACTGCCATGGGGTCTAGGAGTTCGCCTCCTGTTGTGGGGTCCCTCCTTGGATCAGGAGGGTTCTCGTCTTCCCAGCAGGGTGGGGCCTCATGTGGTCTTGGGAACCAGCCCGTCCATCACTAGCGGGCCCACCCTGAGTCTTCTTGTCAGCGTGAATGCAGGTGTGATTGGAAGCGGCTAACTATGAATAGCAAGAGACATGCCCGTCACTCAGGAAATCCCAAGGGCTTCAGGGAACCTGGGATGACAATCAGACATGTGTTTCTTCTTATCCCACACCCCGGCTCTTCTCTGGTTTCACTCGTGGCTGTGAGGGGCCATACCTCTGACATCACACACAGAGGCAAAAAGGAGAAGCCTCTTTCTTGGATCTTTCTGCACAAGGAAGCCTTTCCTAGGACCCCCACTGCCAGCAAGTGCCCCTTATGCCTCCTTGGCTAAAAAGGGGTCTTATGCCTTCCCCTGACCAGAAGATGGAGTTACCATGGGGGACTGAGCCCCGTCCGGTGGAACCCATGGGCCTGGTGGGCAGTGGGGCGGAGGGAAGGGCCGTGCAACGGGGCCGCAGGGGAGCTCTGTGCCCTGCACAGCTCACCAGGCCGTGGGTCTGTGTGGAGGGCCTGAAGCCCACCTGTTTGCTGTTGATGATCAAGCTCAGCCTCGTCCTCCTGTGGAGAGAGTGTTTTAATAATTTATTAATAGCCAGAAGGAGGTTTCTTATTTTGGGGGCTGATGTCACTTTGAAAATTGGCTTTTCGAAGCATCTGGGTGTGTTGGACATAATCATATCAATTTACTGAAAAACCTCAAATGATAAAGATTGCCTTTTGCTTTCAAAGCCACTGTCAGATGAAGCAGGCATTAAAAGTGATTTGAAGTTAAAGCTTTCACATTTTACCAGGCGATCCTCATCATTTTACTTTGGAAATGAAACAGAATGAACTATTAAAGGAAAGGAAACTTGGCTATACTTTTCTCCCACCAAAGAGGGAGGTGCTTCCTGAAATTATTTGTCTTAACAGCAGCAGCAGGCCCATCTCTGTGTCCAGTGCCACACGGAAGGGAACGTTCCCATCTGCTGGCTGTCTGTGCTGCCTTCGCCGTGGTCACAGATGTGGATTGAGCCCGTGGGGGAATTGGTTTGGGAAGGGGGTCTCTGCCTCAGGGAGCAGCCTCTACAGTGGGCAGGTGGTCCTCACAATCCCAGCCGTGGCTGGCCTCTCAGGACCTGTGGGCTCCCTCTGAGAGCTGGAGCGCCTGCCCTGGGGAAGGATGAGTCTTGGGGCACCCCCATGGAAGCGCTTGGTGCTCCGTCCTCTTCTGTGAAATGGGATCTTGGGGTTGAGACGAGGTCCTTAGTACTGCTCCGGTCTGGGAGGCCAAAGGGAGAAGCTGCCCTGAAATCCTGGGTTCTCATAGGTGTTTCCCAGCTGGGTTTCATGTGTGTGTCGGTGTGCTGGCTTCCGTCCCACCTGTGGCTTACTGCCCTGTGTGGGCTTCTTCAGCCAGGGTGCAGGCTTCAGATGGAGCTGGTCACACCCCTGCCACCCACTGCCAGGAGCGCTGGAGACGCTTCCCTGAGATGGGGCAGTGGAGAGGCGCGGGAGGCCTCTGGGCGTGAGGCTGGAGTTCCCGGTCCCTCTTGCCTGCAGGGCCTGGGGGGCGGCTGGTCTGCTCCTTGCTGGTCATGTGACTTGGGCAGGCACCTGGTCGTCTCTTCATCTCTGTGAACCGAGAGGTACTGGCAGTAACGACTGGGTTGCTGTCAGGTCTGAGCCTCCTGAGCCATGCCTGGGCACTAACCGTCCCCGGGTCTCAGTGTTGCTGCTTGCTGGTGGGTGGACACTTTCCGACCAAGGCTTTCTGGGGCCTGGTGACACTGAGTGCCTGGCCCTTTTGTGCACTTCCAAGGCCCAGGAAGGAGACATACCCTAGGACAGGCGGCACTGGCGGTGGCCACTGAGGTGTGGATGAGTCCAGTCGTGGCCTCGGTGCTTGAGTTCTGGCCTGTCCCCTGGGCTGCTGCTCTCTTAGGTGGCGGGACACTGTGTTTGTCGTGGCCTGCCATGGCGGGGTCAGGGAGCCTTGCACGGTTGAACAGCTGAGCACATTTCTACAAGTCTCTTACAGGCAGTTGGACAGAAATTCAGATGAGCGTGAAGGAGACGGCATGGCAGAAGATGTGAGGCCACGGTGGCCCAGATCCCTGAGGGCTTTGCCAGGCGGGCCTCAGTTTAAAGTCACTTTTGTTTGTTTCTCATTGAATGTAGCTTGTAGTCACTGAAGAAAGAGCCCTGGTCCCGCTGAGGTCACGGGTCATGAGGGCAGCTTCCGGGCATTTTCCCTTGTCTGTGCAGAGTGGTGGGCATGAGCTCGTGGCGACGCGTGCTCTCCTCTGCGGTTTGTACCAAGTTGGCCGTGTCCATCTCTGCTTGGTGGTGAACGCTGTTTTTGCCATCTGAGGAGCTTCTCAGGGTGCGGCTCTGCTGCCCTGTTCCTCGCTAGCCCAGTGCGTGGTGCTCCCTCTCCCAGGGCAGTGCCCTGTTCCTCGCTAGCCCGGTGCCCGGTGCTCCCTCTCCTGGGGCAGCATGCTGTTCCTCACTGCCCAGTGCCCGGTGCTCCCTCTCCGGGGCAGTGCCCTGTTCCTCACTAGCCCAGTGCCCGGTGCTCCCTCTCTGGGGCAGTGCCCTGTTCCTTGCTAGCCCGGTGCCCGGTGCTCCCTCTCCAGGGCAGTGCCCTGTTCCTCGCTGCCCAGTGCCGGGTGCTCCCTCTCCAGGGCAGTGCCCTGTTCCTCGCTGCCCAGTGCCCGGTGCTGCCTCTCCGGGGCAGTGCCCTGTTCCTCGCTGCCCAGTGCCCGGTGCTCCCTCTCCGGGGCAGTGCCCTGTTCCTCGCTGCCCAGTGCCTGGTGCTGCCTCTCCGGGGCAGTGCCCTGTTCCTCGCTGCCCAGTGTCCAGTGCTCCCTCTCTGGGGCAGTGCCCTGTTCCTCGCTGCCCAGTGCCCGGTGCTCCCTCTCCGGGGCAGTGCCCTGTTCCTCGCTAGCCCGGTGACCAGTGCTCCCTCTCTGGGGCAGTGCCCTGTTCCTCGCTGCCCAGTGCTCGGTGCTCCCTCCCCAGGGCAGTGCCCTGTTCCTCGGTAGCCCGGTGCCTGGTGCTCCCCTCCGGGGCAGTGCCCTGTTCCTCGCTGCCCAGTGCCCGGTGCTCCCTCTCTGGGGCAGTGCTGCTGTGATGGTGCCGCTGGCGTGGCTCGTGTGGCAGCATCTCGGAATGCTGGTGCCTCAGGCCGAGCTTCTGAAGTGACGGCTGGGTCAATCGTGTGCCTGTTTTCAGGAGCTTGGCTTTTAGAAGATGAATGTTGCCTATCAGCCAGCGTAGCGTGCCTGTGAGCGGCCTGTATCACGCAGTCTTGTCTCACTTCCCGGGCGTTGTGTAACCTCCTCCTCTGCTGATCTGATGTGCGGAACAGAGCGCCCTTCCCGCAGTCGCTGTCTTGGTGACTCGGTGTTCCTTTCACCAGTGTGACACATGTCCACGTCCGTGAAGCCAGAAGCCAGCAGGTACCTCGGCAGGTCCTGTGGGTCGGGCTTCTCTGCGGAGTTCCTGCCGTTGCTGCCTTTGTTTAAGTTTGCATCAGTTTCTCTCCATAGTTACTGCAGTAGCATTCCAGCCTGTTTCAGGGAGGAGCCCGGACTCTCCCACCCAGAAGAGTTCTGATGCAGGGAAGGCAGCCAAGGGAGGGTCTGATGGGAACTTGTGGTGAAAGCTGGTGCAAGAAACAGATCATCTGGCAGTGAGCAGATGCCGAGTCAGAAGCCATCCCCTGCCTCGTTTGAGGAAGATAGAATGACACCGTATCTCGGAGTTAGCTACTGGGCCACCAACCAGCCTGGAGCCAGAAGGAATTTTCCCAGCATCGAGCTACGGTGTTGGCCCCTTTTACTGGTCAAGCACAGTTCCAAACGCTGCTGTGAGCGGGACTGAAATTTCTTTCTGAATGTTTCTGCGCTCTTAGGACTGGAGGCTGGAAGCCCTGCGGTGGCACCTGTGCTGCATCCTGGTCTTGGGACTGGAGTTTGTAGAGGCAAGAAGCTTCTGGAACTCTCAGTGCAGGACTTTGCTTTCCAGGGTTGCGAGGAGCCTGCTTGTTAGCTTTATGCGGGTGTGCTCAGGTGCTGCGCTGAAATTCCTGTCTCACAACAGAGAGTGTCTGTGGGGCCGCTTGAGGGTTCAGCGGGATGATGTTGATAACACGCCTGGTGCAGCAGCTCTCGGCAGTCCCCGGGATGTGGTGCTGTGGCGAAGGGTCCGGGGCTGGCTTTGGAGCCGGGGCAGGCAGGGCTCTCAGTGGACAGCGGGGCAGCTTACAGGGCACTGGCCATAAGGCGCTCTAGGAGGGCAGGGTACCTGAGTGCATTTCAGCCTGGGAGTTGGGTCAGAACCACCAAACTCTGCCTCCTGTGTGTTTTTCCCTTCCTTTAGCCATGGACAGATGGGGCGTCATCGGTCACTGGTGTGAACAGAGCCTGTCAGAGCTCCTGGTCCTCTTTTCCTTGGGGCAGGAGTTTCAAGGCAGTACGGGGGAGCCTGGCGTGGTTTGCACTGGAGCCGCGGTTTTAGCTCTTTGAATCTGAGAATGCACCTCCTGGTTGTGGGACTGAGGACAGGGCATGCAGTTCAGAATCCGTGGGTGGGTCTGGTATGCCCTCTGCTCACGCTTCACACAGGGTGCCCCGGGGCTGTCTTGTAGCCTCCCTTCCCTTTTCAGGCCC